CTCAGAGGGCCCTGCTAATATTTTTTTATTTGTCAAAGACACCATCTGTCAGTACTCTTTCCTGACCTACAAGTTGCCATCCTCTGATGTTGCACAGGGAGAGGCTGTAGCATCCATTTCTGGTAACGATGAGTCATTGACAAGACTCCCAGACCACCACTTGGGAATCACTCCTTTACCATAGGAAGCCAATCACAGCCAAAAGGAGGCATTCAGGGCAATCACAAATCACAGTGATCGCAATGCCCATAAGGGAAATCCATGACGGGCTGAGTCACTCTTGTGCTGACATCCTGGTTCCCAAAGTAGATTTCTGCCCTTCAGCAGTATCACTGGACCTGTTTGCTTCATTCCTGGGTGCATTTGTAGCTGTTATCTGCGGTGGCAAAGCAATCTGAAGGCCTAATTTCTTTACAATTCTGCTACTTCCTAGTTTCCCATCAACACATATATTCCTTTCCAAAAAATGTTTTGGAAGGGGCACACTAAAGACGAATCTCTACCAATCATCCCTTTATACCTAGGCTCACCTAGACAATCAGGTGTTCTCATCAGGGATAGCCACAATGTCCTCACATATAAGGCATCTGGCTGAGACTGTCATATTGGTACTGTCATATTAGTTACAGCTAATGATGACACATCCTTTATGCATATGTGAAATCCATCTAAGATACCATTTAAAAACCATTTTAATTGTGTGATAAAGTCTGTCAGTCTGCTACCTCAGGTGATACTAAACTCTAGTGTTATGAGAGGAAGGAAAAATTATTCTCCTTTTTCACTCTACTACTGTCATAATTTTATAATTACGTTCCTGTATGTAAGCAGCTGATCTATGCATGTTGATTCAGAATTGTGTCTCACTGAATCCTGAGGGCCTTAAATAAACATGTTTTGCTGTCATGCAATGCAGTCTTAAGCAGTCCACTCCAGAGTTAATTTCACTGAATTCCAGGAGGTTCACTCCTTAGGTATTGTGTTTAGGATTTTTAAAAATTAAACATTTTCCCTAAACTAAAAAAAATCAGTGCTTAGCCCTTTCCACCTACAAAAGGTGTGCAAGTAGCCACAGTCATTGAACCACCTGATCCTATGCATGAAGTACTTAGAAGAAATCCCACATTCAGTGCTCGTATGTTAAAGGCCTTTTGCTCTCTCCTTTCCAATTGCAATGTAGTAAAAAGGACCCTCTGGCTTTGAGATTGCAAGAGAGGCTTTTTATTGTAAAGGAGATAAAAGTACTGAAGTTTCTCATTTTCCAGTGTCATATATGAAAAGTTCTCATTTTTTCTAACCTCTTATTCCACTTAAGACTGATTGTTTGCCTGGTACTTAACATATCCCTATTACAGTGTTTACCTATATTGTGTGACACATGTTAATATTTAGATTACAGCTGGTATACCTTATAAGCAAGGGTGCTACCTAGTTCAGCTTCACAAAGAGGATTTATTGCTACTTCAGTGAGGATACACAATGCCAAATGTATATATTTTTGACAAAGAATCTGCATGGTAAATTGAAATACCATGCAGCACTGGTAGGAACATATGAATGTGTTTACATTAAATCTGCTTTGGTCCATTGGTCATATATATGGAACGACTCTTGCAAAACTGCTCTCTCCAAATGTCTTCCAATTAAATTGATTTTTTTTTCAAGAGTATGGTAACTTTGGTGTTTCGGATAAACAGTAATGATTTGCAAGGAAGATACAGAGGTATCAATCCTGCACTTACCGCCCACAACTGATAGCCTGATTGAATTATGTATACATACATGTATGTTCTTAAATTGTTATTAAGCAGAACCCTCACTACCTCTCCATCAATGCAGTTCCAGAGATCTGTTGATCACCAGCACTGTGGAACTGGAGAATGTCCCCTTACCCTCCTTTTGTCCAAACTTATATTTGGGCACCTCTCCTAAAAGCAGGCGCTTGAGGTAGCCCTGCCCCTCCCTGGGCAAAGAGGAGCCCTGCAAGACACACTCCCACTTTTCAAGGCCCAGGCAGACACTGATCCTTGCAGCAATTTCAGCTGAAATCATCTGGACCTGCTGCCACTAGAATGCTGGGCTCTTGGGAGAGGCTCAGGCCAAGAGCTTCTGCATAAGAGAGCGAGAGCGAGAGAGAGAGAGAGAGAGAGAGAGAGAGAGAGCGCTCTGATCCTGAACACACAGAAGCACATTCCAGAGATTTCACAAGAACATCTTTCCAAGTGGGTGTGCATACATTGCCCTGGCATCCTGCAGGAGGCCAGGATTTCAAATTGCTTGATGCAACACTGAAAAAACGTAGTTGTCAAGCTAAGATGGTGCAGCCTTAGCTTTGCATTAAACTGGGTTTATGGCTCAGTCCTATGCATGGAAGACTGAAAAAAGTTCCCAGCACTCCCCAGGCAGTATTGTCTGTCTGAACGTGACTGGGTTTGCACCGTTTTTACAACAGCTAAAGGAATAAATAACACTCCTGAAGTGATGTATAGTCCAATTCTGAATGCATTATATGGCTGTCAATTCTATTGAACTGAGTAGCTTATTCCTTAAGATTTGGATGGAAGACTGCAATTCCTGATTTTTGACATTAGGTTATTTTGTTGTATGCTATCAAAACATACATCACTTAAATATCCATTAATTTTTGATGTAGATGCAGCTAGGAAGTTGTTCTTTAAGTGCAATCCTTTGTCTTCCTCTGACTTCAGTGGGTCTTGCTTCCCAGTTGAGCATTTCTAGGCTTGTACCCCAGGACTAATTTGCAGTCATCAGGAGAGCAACATCTTTGTTAGGGCTTCTGATTTTCCAGTTTAGCAGGAGGTTGTGAATGAGTCAATGATCTCAGTGTTCAGAGTCTGCAATGATGAAATTGGTAAATATATATACCGTTCATCTGTTAGTACAGGCTGACCTTGGTCTGTCACAGAGGAAAGGCATGTCCTCCCATCCTGCACTTCTTGAACAAAGGCAAGCAAATGAGGGTGACTCAGGATTTCGTGTGGCCTAGATGTGACGGAACATTTTCTGAATGATTCAACTTCTGTACACAGGAATCAGGAAGAGAAACTTATTACTGGTTGCCAACCAAGAAAAACTGTTTTATAAATTGCCTGCAAATCATCAGCAAGAGCTTTAAAAACCTCTTTGATGTTCCCAGTAATTTGTTACAGATTTGCAGTGCTTGCAACACATTGTCATTTTTGTTTTATATACCTAGTTAAAATGGCTGGCCAAAGTGAATGTTATAAAGCATAATAAAAATCAAGGACAGTTTTTCTATGTAATTATAAGGAAGAGTTTATTTTGCAGCAACCTGTGTTTTGCATGTTCAAATGGAATCTGCTGTAGTGGCTACTAAAGGAGAGTGAGCAGCAACTAGCCACTGAATTTGCCCCACTGCTGGCATATACCACTTACTGAAACCTCCATACTGTATTGTCTTTTACAAACTAAGATTTCATAGCTGGATAAAAAAAATGAAGTTAGTGTGGAGGTTTATATTACATACAAGGTTAAAATCTGTCATCCAGACGAATGCACACCTGAACATTCATACATAGGAGTAATTCACTGAAATTAATGGGCCTTCCTTTCACATCAATGGAACTAGTTATAAGTTTCCACCAGAGCTGTGAAAAGGTGAAAAACATGTTATAAATTAGATTCAACATGTTTTAAGTATCAGTGCATGCCCATATATTTAGCTTTTACAACTGAGTTCTTTAACAGTGAAAAGTTTTCCCCCTAAGATATCTTAAAAATTTCTTGTGTAAGTAGCAATGCCGGTTTATCAGCTGCAGGAGTATTTTGTAATGCAAACTGGAACCTCTCTGTTCAGTCCAATAGATGGATATACAGGGACACTGCATTTAAAGTACAATCCTTCACATGTCTACTTAGTACTAACACTTACTATATCCAGTAGGGCGTATTTCCAAGCAGCCTTAGCCCCACTGAAGTCATTGGCTTAAAGGATTTTGGCTCAGCTCTTTGTGTAAATATACAAGTCAGCTGCACTCCTTTCACTACCTTAACAGTGCAGCCTTCAGTATTAAGGAACTTGCCACCCCACATAGCTTTGCCAAGCTTTATATTTAGTATACCTTGCTCATGCAGATTTTCCATTTAAATGATCGCATTCTATTTTTAAGATTGCAGTGCTTTAAAAATGGAAACAAATACAGCATATTCTCATTCCTTTCCAGTGCTGCCCCTGATCAATAAAATTTCAAGCACAGCAGCATTTGTACAGTTTGGCTGGGAACATATAGCTTGCATTTATGCGTAAAACTTCCTGTTTCTCTGAACAACACTACAGTGTTAAGATAAGCAACACCATACATGCTTGGACTACAACCCTAAACACTATTTCCCTTCTTGTGCTTCACATGTATTTATGGTAACTGTTTGCCATCACTGTTTGGGTTTCACGTTGGGAGTTTGTAATCTCTAACTAAAACAGAAAGAAGTAACCCGGTACATTAACTAGAAGGACTTTTGCACAGCTGCAGCTGTCAGTGAAAAGAGCTGTCTACAGTGACTTCTCCTGTCAAGTGGAACACTGTGTTTGTTCTTCCTGCTAGTAAGGTGAGACGGTTTTGGCCCAAGTTCAGAGAAAACTTCCCAGGATCTTGTTGCATAAAAAGCCATTGGAAGAACCCTTCCAAATAAAACTTTCGCTGAATAGGATTTTGTCAGGTACATAAGCTCAAGTCTCTGCATAACATAATGCAGCTAGTTTTAATTTTCCTTCCCATGTGACCTGGAACCCTTGATCAGCAATATACCATAAAAGACACAAGAACAGTCCTCCCTCCCACCCAGGAAAAAGCATAGGACTCTCCAAAGTTGCACTTAATTCTGTTTTTCCCCTATATTCGATTTTAATTTCTAATCAAAATATTTTTAAAAATCCAGTTGATTTGGCTACTATGTACCTCAGTAGCTGCAATTTTTAAATATAAAAAGGTTACCAAAAGAGAGAGAAAACACTCCCAGAAAGTGTTTAAAGCTCCTAATTTCACTTTATTTAATGCAAAAGATAAAAAATAATAGATAAAAATAGTAATGTGTTAGTTTAGCAACTACAAACAACAAAAGCATAGTGCAGGTGATATTTCAATAAAGGTATCTTAAAAGTGTTAGGAAGGTGAGATTTTGACACTCACACTCTCCATTAAAACAACATTTTGCTTTATTGCTATACAAATTATCACCATTAAAAACTTCAAAAAAGATAGCAAAGCCTCACTCCATTGGAAGGAAAAACTAAGCTCACACTAGCTGTAATGGAGTCAAGGTTTGCATGATTATCAAAGATTAATGGTACCACTGTTGCAGCTAAAGCAGTTTTCAAAAAGTGTCTGTAGCCAAGGCAACATATAGTAAATACATAGTGAGCCATTGAGGTGATGTCATAAACATATTAAGATACCAACTAAAATTACAGCAGGCCCAATTGAAATTTGAGAAATGCAAAAATCTTGTCCTAAATTTCTGTATTCTGAGTTCATAACGTGTGTTAGAACTGGTCACCTTAAAAGGTTTGGAAGAAGCTGGCTGAACAGGTACAAAAGTTTGCAATATGTTCCAGCTGTCGTCACCTGTATTCCAAAGGCCCAAACCTTCCCACTATTTAAGCTATGTTAAGGAACATTCAGTGATATTGCTGGCTACAGTATATGAAGACACTTATTCAGGATACAAGTATAAATAAAAGGGCTTCAGTTGGAAATTCAGATCAAATCCCTGTCAATACTTCAGCATGCCTAAATAGCATTGGCAAAGAAAGAAGTTGCCATCTCCCACCTGAAGTTAAGAAGCTCCAATCTGGACTACATGCCAAAACATCACAACAACTTTCCAGGAAGTTTTTAGTAGGAATATTGTTTTAGCTAGAATGCAAATTCTCCATACAAATTGGTATAATACATGAGGTACTATGTCAAAGAGATTCTTAAGAACTTGTTACCATCTATCAATTCGAAATCCAATTTTAATAAAGTGCCTAAATACATATTTCCACAGACTATAGTGGTTCCAGAGAATCTTTTACAGTTGTATATATGTGCGTTTTTTTCTCTCAAACTGTCTAAACGCGTTTACATAAGACACCAGTCTGTACTATATGTACTTCTATCATTTTCAAGAGTACTGAATTGGTTTATCATGCAAATCCTGTTATTTAATATTACATTTACCTGTAATATGGAACACAATAGTGGGTGTGCTCACTAAAACACTTCAAAGAGAAAAGTTACTGTGCATGTTCAGTTTGGATTTTCAAATGTCATGACCATTAAAAAAAAAACCCTACCAGAATCTACTCTGCTTTAAATAACAGTCTGAACATTAACACATAAGAACAGTCTGACCCAACAGCATTGAAATCTGTTAAACTTAGATGAACAGATTCTCTCAACATCAAAAGGTATAGTGTTATTTGCCACAAACATAGGCACCATATAACCATCTTTCTGCTTTGAACAATTTGTGACCATATGCTCAACATGTAACACAAAGGGTTGCACAGCAGTGTTGCTAACACAACTGTAAACAGCACAGAAACACTACAGTAAGGCTTGACTATTTCTAGTAATGGATGATTTATTGATTAAAAATGTTGGCCATCTGATGAAAAAAGTGAGATCAAGACAGTAATTTTACAAAATAATTTCTGAAAATAAACGGCAAGGCATGTCTATGTGGAACTAAAGTTTATTTAAATCCCAAGTTGTTTAAGTTTTGTTGCTTTCCCTCCAACACATGTATTATGAAATCTCAGGCAGAAATTTCCATTCATCTCTGTGCTGCCAACACAGGCAAGCCAAGCAAAGCCTCAACCCTACTGTCATTATCACACAGTTATCTGCCACTACCTGATGTCAGAACAGTAAAAACGGCAACAGTACCGTACTTAAGCAATAGGATCAAAGTCCACCTGCACTAGATGAAAAAATAAAAAACCCTACCTCAAGAGGGCTTCCACGTGAATATGAAGGAAGGAGAACACTGAGTGGCACTAAAAAGATAGGGATTTGTTTTAAAATATGGCAGTGCTATTCTGTCTGCACCAATACACAGTTAGACAAGAATTAAAGTTATCACAAAAATTCTGCAGGAACATTATATAATTATGAATAAATGCAGTTTTGCAACCTTACAACCAATCACTTGAACTGTGGTCAACTCTGCCGTTAAGAAAAAACGAACTCCCCAATCCCTAACACAACAGCGCCTCACTTAGTATAACACTCTGAAGGCATCTTCCTTCTAGAAACAAACTGCTCTAAGAATCTGGCCATTTTAGTAGCAGCAACAAGGGAACGCTGCCTCCAAGGGAAAATCCTCATGCTTTCTCACCTGACTATGGACTGGATTCAGTGGCATTCTCACTTTAATCCTATGAACATTTTAATGCCATGTTGTCTCTGAAACCTGTTTGCCTTGAGCATGAATAAGGGCAAAAATAAGGAACCACAGACAGTAAGGCGATCTTTACAATGTCAGAAGATGTATTTGGCATTTTAAAAAAGGGAAAAAACCAAGTGCATTCAATTACAGCTAGAAGCATTTCTGGTTTGCCAAGTGCTCTCTAAAAAAAGCAGCACAAGTCACAGTCTACACTGAACAGTAACTGTCACCAAGGAAGCACAACAAATAGTTGCTGTAAGAGCAAAAAAAGAAAGCGCTTTTGTAAGTACATACCTTTTATCTTCAAAAAATATAGAAACACAATGTATTCAAAAAAGAAATCAAAATTATACAGCCATGTTTTATGAAGTCTACATTTCCCTTGTCTTGGAGATATATATATATATATATAATATATATATAGATATTTATAGGTATTTATAGATATATACAATTCAAGCAGTTTTCATGTTAAAGGTGATGTTGCACTGAGGAACTGGAAAAGTCACGAGTCTCTCTCTTTTTTCACTTTCACATCTCCTGCAAGAATGGTTGCAATTTCTCCCTGCATGAATGCCCAAGGGACATTGGAACCCACCAGAGGGCACTTCTCCCCACTGGGACAATACACTTCACCACTAGCTCCTTGCTGTTTAATGCTCTGTCTGGAGCAAGGGAAGCAGAACTTATGGGATGGGACAGAGGGACACTGCACGAAGTGGGTGTCTTCCAAGCGCTCGTGACACAGAGTGCAGCACAGTGGGACACTTGCTGCCAGAGAAGAGTCTGGGAGGCTGGCAGGGTGCACTGGCTCCATCCCTCCAGGGTTTGCCCCCTGACTTGGCACCTCCCTGGCCAGCCTTCTTTGGTTCATAGGAGACGGAGAAGGTGGGCTACTGCTATTCCTTCTTGTGGTAGAGTGGACCTGGTTGGCATCTTTGGAGGCATGGTTGCCGCCAGCATTGTCTGCAACTAAAATTAGTGCGGCCATCGGGGACTGGCCATTCTGGACTGCCTCGGGTGGTGTGGTCCGGTTGGAATGAGGCGAAGCAGTGGGGGGTGGGGGGGACATGAAAGATGCAGCTGCCATTGGTATTTTCATCCCTTCTGATGAGGTTGGTAACCATGACTGTGCCTCGCCATTGATTTTAGGAGGTCCAGCTTCACCTTCTGGCTCTGGAGAAGGTTTTCTCTTCCTTGCAGCTCGTGCTCCTACAAACGAATGGAAGAGGAGATAATTTTGCAGAAATATAGCCAGAGTAACATGCAGACATGGCAAGGTCAGCACCATAGCCTACTCATGCCAAATGGCTGAACTTCAGCCAACTTACTGAACACTAATAGCTAAAACCAGCTTAAAACCAAGTTAGTTCAGCTTATCTGGGGCTGTGGATCAGCAGCTGCAAGGCAGGTGAACATGCTGTGCTAGTGCTTAACACTATAGTACATGCTGCATTCAAATGTTCCTACACCGTACCACCCTCCCACACTGGCCATTAGCCAAATAGCCACTTTCATGTTTGCAATCTTCTACTCGCTGGAAACGCAATCAGGCTAAAGATATTGTCCAACCAGGATGTCATAACCTGCTGGCCCAGCAGAAAGTGTATACAGTATCTGGCTAGCCCAGATAACTTCTGCATGCCAGGTAATTTGCACCTCACAAGGTAGAGCCTCACACAGATAGGCAGATATGGCGTCCAGCTCCACAGTTCAGCAAAATGTCTGCTGTTGCTAGCCGTCACAGGCCTGTGTGCCTCAGCTCCTTTTGCAGAAGAATGCGGCCAACGCTAGGGAGGGGAAACCCTCTGACAGTGTCTATCAGAGAGTGCCCTGACTCATCCATGTTACGCTGCTTCCACACACCAAACACGCTGCCCTTCAGGCACCAGGAAGTTGGATCGAAATGGCGAGCTGACTTGGGGTTTCCACGGAGGGGAGGAAGGAGAGCGGAGCTTCCTCTCTTTTTCCTCCGGCTGCCCCATGCCCGGGCCAAGCACACAAGCCTCCCGCCAGCCCTTCTCACCTGATTTGGCCACGGCTCCGTTGCTGTCGTAGCCCAGCAGCCGCCCCGCCATGCCGGGCTCCTTCTTGAACTTGCTCTCGTAGGGCACCGCGTGGCCGCTGTGCTGCAGGGCCAGCAAAGTGTCTCGCACCGTCTTGGGCTTGTTCAGCCACTCCTGCTCCGAGCCCCCCGCCGCCGCTGCCGCTCCCCGGCTTTTGCCCTCCACGCCGAGCTGCTCCAGGTTGTCCGCCGAGCCCCGCGCTTGCTGCTGCCCCTTGTCCTTACCCTCCAGGTCGCTCGCTCCGCCGCTGCTGCCCCCGCCGCTACTAGACGACGACGAGGACACCGAGCCGGGCCTCTTGTGGGCCCCCGTTTCTCCGGGCTGCTGCTGCTGGCTTTGCTGCGCTTGCGAGACCGACACCTGCAGCGGGGTTGGCGCTCCGGAGATGGCTGCCAAGGAGGCCGCTGCGGCCGCTGCCGCCCGGCTGTTGATGCTGATGGCGGCGGGCAATGAAGCTCCGTTCATGAGGGGCACCAGGGTGGGCGCCACGGCGTGCGTCCGCCGCGGGTTGGGGCTCTGGCGGTTGAGTTCAGGCGGCTCCTCGGGCTTGGAAAACCCGTTGGGCACCAGGATACCATTGACCTGCCTGTTGCCGCCTCCATACTCGGGTCCCAGGCGCGGCGGCGGCCGCTCAGAGGAGGCTGTGGCTCCCAGAGAGTAGCGTTCGTGGGACTGCGGCGGGGCGCGGGACGCCGCCTCGGCTGCCGCCACCGCCGCAGAGTGCATCTCCTTGGCGCTGAGCGGCGGCGGCTGCTGCTTGGCATGGGGCGGCGGCGGCGGCGCCCGGCCTTCTTGGAAGCTGTGCGCTCGCTTGAGCTGCCGAGCCGTGTCGATCACGAACTCCACCCGGTCGGCCCCTTCGTAGTTGACACAGCCCCTGCAGACGGGCTCGGTGAAATCCCAAATCATGGCCCAGGGCATGCGGGGCAGATCGCACAAGTAGCACGACTGCCTGCGGGAGGCAGCAGCCACCGCCACCGCGGCGGACGACATGGCCGAGTCCAGGGGCAGCAAGCGCCCCGCGCCTCGTCCCCTGCCTCCTCTTCCCACTGCCGCTCTTCTAGCCACCGGGGAGGCTCTGTGCTTTGCAACTGCAGCAGCCTCTTGCACTGATTGCCACCTCCTTGGACGAACAAGAGCAGCTTCGAGGCGAGGGCGGCAGGAAAACGCTTCGCGTTGCTGCCAGGCTCTCCCAACCCCACCGGCTGCAGTCACTCACAGGGAAGCGGCCAGATGCGACATCCCCCAAACGCTGCACCCTCGAACCCCCAGGACAGCACGACTACTCGCTTCTTTCCGCACCGCGCTCTCGCTACTACAGCGCTGCCCGCCGGCTGCCGGCCGCCCAGACACTCGCACTGGGGCGGGACTCCAGAAGCCGCCGCCGCCGCTTGTGAGCTCTGCTCCAGTGACTCGATTCTTCGACAGTGCCCAGGAGCGCCTGCGTGCTAGGCTCTCCCCCTTCCTCCTCCTGCTGCTCATTGAACTTCTGCCAAGACAACAAGAGCTGCAAGAATAACCAGCTCTCTCCTAGTCAGCACACGAGGGGAGGGGGAGGGAGCGGCAGGGCTTTTGCATGTTAAGATGGCGATATGGGGGTCTTCCTTATCTACTTCCTTCTTCAGGGCAAACCTGCTTTGATAGTAACGCGGGTGGGGGTTTTCTTTCCTTTTTCAGTCTGGTAACTATCCAATGCACACTTAGCTTTGCATTATGCCAACACCCCCTCTCTGGTTTGTGTGTCTGCGTGCGTGCGTGCGCTTTGAATTCTGCAATGGCTGCTTTTAAAAAATCCAGGTTATATCATTCGAGCGATCCCTTGTTTTAATTCTAAGGTCGATCTTGGTTCTTGCCATGTGAACTTAGGCAAATCGCTCAGGATTGACTTCTCTAAACGTGAAAACTCTCCATTGACTTTAAGCCCCCGACTCTCTCTGTAACTCCCCTCCCCCTGCATCAGTAAAAAGGCTTAATTATAGTACACAAGAAACAGGAAAGGATATCGGGATTATGAGGCAACCTTTAGGAGCGCTGGCCGCGACTGCCTTAGGTTGCATCAGGATTCTTAAAATAATTATTCGTAAAATCCATGTGCAGATTTACTTGGAAACAAATGCTTGAGGATTCCAGGGGAATTTCTTTCCAACAACAGACTTACTTGGGAGCTAGACTCACTGAGATAGCCGTAGGGAGAGGAAAGTCCAAAATCCAGATTTGGCCAATACCTTTATTAGGACTTTATTTGGACACTGGATTTTGCTTGCAATAGCACACTTAAAAGAAAGCATGCATAAGGCTGCAAGCCAGAGCATATTTACCGTGCATTAAAACTTGCTCCTTAGAATGCATAGGATCAGGCAACGTATTTAAAGTAATAACCGGCCAACCACTGAAATAGATTTACTTGCCAAGCAAATGTAACTAGGCATAGGAAGTATGACCGCATTCCTAAAATGATTTTCTCGAAGAACTAGGATCGTGATCCTATGCAATTTTAATCGGAAGTAAGCTCCACTGATTGCAGGAAGGACTACTCGCTAGTAAGTGTCTGGGATTACCCTATAAAACGTAGTTCCTGCGCATTCCTTTTGAAAGCGTCAGCAAGCGAATGAGGGGAAATAGGATGTTTTTAAAGGTTGTAACCGTAAAATGTAAACAGCATAGGAGTAATCCATTGCAGCAGAATGGATCACTAACACGGAATCCGAGAAAGCTCTGGAGCACTGATTTCGAATATTGCAACGCAAGCAGGCAATATTCTAAAAAGCGCATAAATCACTGCTTGCGCCACATTTTGTGTTGGCGAGGCTCATTCAACGGGTTGCTTTCCCCCTTAAAATCTCTTAATTTCTTTTAGATGTCGAGACAATCCCGCTTTCCTTCCTGGCGTTTTTTAATTGTGAAACAACAGCTGTCTACAGCGCCGAGAAAAAGCATGCACACAGCACACGGAACGTTTCCAGAAAGCTTGCTCTCGCCACCCCGGCCCACCGTGATGTTCTCCAGACGATTTTCTTCCTCCTTCCAAGGAGAAAAGTTCCATGTCGTTTTGGCATTTGTGTGCGAATAAGCAGAAAAGGAAGAGCAAGAACTGTTGCCGCTAAAGGCGAGGCGTAAGCCTCCTGTATATATGTCCGTGTCATTGTGTGTGCGTATGGGATTGTGCCGAGTAAACAAAGTGGAAGCGTTTCCCCAAAACTCTGGCGGCTAGGTCACCATTCCCAGAGTATTGCTGCCTCTGCTGAGTTATGTAGGTTACAAAGGGAAGGGAGGGGAACGAGAGCTCTGACGTTTGCATTTTGTTCAAGGGCTTCTGCTACACTGCGCGCGCAGCCGCAGTCGGAGACGTGACTCTATGCAATTGGCACTCGAGGCCTCGTTAAGCGAAATGCACATTCCAGGGACAGAGAGAAGGGAAGGCAGAGCGAGAGCGAGCGAGACCTGCAGCCAGCAGCGCCGCCGCGCCGTCACGGCCTTAAGCGCCGCCCTCTTTGCTGCTATTTCTGGGCGCCCGATGCTCCCTTCCTTCTAGGCTTCACTTTTACTTAAGATAGTATGAGCGACTCGCACGCTGGCGGGGCCGTAGTGGACGCGCGTAAAAAACGGCAACAACATGTACTGGAGCGCTCGCTCTTGTCGGCATTAACGACGAGGCGCGCGGCTCCTTCTTAATCGCGGCAAAATGCTCGTCATCCATTCAGAACTGGCTGGGTGGTGGGAAGAATGATTTGGCATTGCAGATGTGGATGCTACAGCCCATCTAGCTTGCATATGGTTGTGGTCGCCGCCTGCCGCCATGAAACCGATTTGTTTTTCCGCAGCAGTTCCACTCCCAGCGTTGCAGACCCTGCTGCCGTGAGCTGATTAGCAATTGCAGAGCTGACTGGCGTTTTAGGCTCAGTGTGCCAGAACACAGAGCTCCGGGGGGATTGTGACTTGCTATTTGCTGTTGCACGAATATCTCACAATCCAGACTCGTTTGCTACTCTGAAGTCTATGTGAATCTGCACTGACTCACAGGTTTGGCACGTTGCCAACGTCTTTCAGTTGTAACATGTTCCTTCCCCATCCGCAAACGCAAGTTTCTTGAACTGTCAACTTTCCGGCCGCCATTCTTTTTTCTTTTTGCAAACAAACGCCCCAGGCCGATTTAGGGAAAAAAAAAGTCCCCTTTGAACTGGAATGAGCTGGTTGTGAGTTGGAAGAGCAGAGAGTAGATTATAATCTCTACAACTGGATTGGCAAAGGAAGCGGGGGGGGGGAGAGGAACCTTGCTGACGTTTTTGCCTGGTTGCTATTCACAATGCAGTTATTGAGCAGAGTTTCCCAATGAAGCAGAGAAGAAAGCAAAACGATCTATTAATGATCTCGCTAGATCGCATGAATCTGTTTCAAAATTGCACGGAAGCCGTTTCAATACCGTGTTAACACGTCCTGTATTTTTTTTTTTTTTGACATCTCAGATGGCATGACTCTCCCGCGGGGATTTCCAGAGTCAGTGCTGTGCTTGTTACAGCTGTGTTTTCAGGGTCTACCTGCACGAAATTCGGTGCAATGGTGGTGAGTACAGGGCTCCCTCTCAAAAAAAAAAAAAAAAAGTGGTGCAAAGTCCTTCACCCACCAACCCAGTAAATTCCACCCTCCCCCATAAAGTGGAAAACTGCAATAGGTGATAGTTAAGGGACATCCTATTGTCCCTTCGGTGCAATGCGGGGTTAATAGTTTCCTGCCTGTGGTGCCTCCCCAGTGAAGCTCCACGAAATGTAAACAGTGCCCTTCCTTCTCCTAGTCTCCCCACACAGCTCCGAGCCAGTCATGTACGCCCATCCTCTGTTCTTCCCCTTTGCGGCCCCATCAAACAATATGATCGTTGTTAAACAGCGTAAAACAACCTCGCCGCTTTTAACAGGATTTGTGCGTGTGTACAGAAGGAATGCTGTACATATTTTAAAGAGAACGTCGGAGAAAAAAGATTTAAGTGTTGTTCTCCTAACCACGATATACACAGGCACCCTCTCCCCAAAAGATTCCCAAAGGAGAGCCATGAATGCCTGGAATGTCTTTAAATCGAAATGGCATCTACGCCCGCCGCCCCCTTTTCTGGCCTTCATTTTCATTCGAGCCGGCAAGGGTTAACGCGCCTTGTTTTCCGTTTCAAAGCCGCCATGCCTTTTATGTTCTGTTCTATCACATTCTTTGTCAGCTGCGCTCTCTGCGTCCCCCCCCCCTTCTTTCTCTGAAGGATCTGTATACTTTTAGTAAACAGATCTTTGTTTTTGTCTTCCACCCACTGCCCTCGTTCTTTCTCCACAGTGAAGCTGGATCCTTTCCAACCCGGCTACAGCAAGCGCTGCCTACACATAAAGAGAGGGAGAGAGAGAGGGAGGGAGGGACGGAGAGACGGGTTTCTAGGGTGAGGCAATGCGTCTGCAATTTGCAGAGACAACGCTGGAATTGTAATTGCTTCCATCATGTGATGGCTTATAAAAGAGGAAGTTCGGATGTTTTAGTCACGTACTTCTGTGCCCTCTTGCTTAGCCTCTAGGTTCTGTAAAAGGAAAATTGCATATATAGTTGTCTGTACTGGGGAAGAGCCAAGAACTAGCGTGTTTGAGCGTGGAGAAAATTGTAACCTGTGGGAACTGTTGCCTTTAAAAAAAAGAAGGCAAAAAGAAGATGAAACTTTGTGGGGTTCTTTTCGTTTATTAACAGAATCAGAAATGGCAACGCTTAGGGGATTTGACTTCTGTGTTGATGCAAGATTTGAAGTATACAAATGGGGGGGGTATGCTAGAGGAGCAAAAGGTAGTTTTAGATCGTTGCTGTTTTCAAAGTGCTGGCACACTTTCCCTCTTCCTCTCCAGGAAACTTGATTTTTTTTTTCAGGGCTTTCATACGATCTGGGAGTCAAACAAAGGTCCTTGTTTGTTGGGGCGGGGGTGCTCTCTTTTTTAACTGAACTGAATCAAGTCCGTGGGGCTTAACCCGTTCAAGGCTTCCATTGTTACATGGTAATTCTATATTTAGGAATCGTTATTACTAGAGGACACCTAATGGTGGTTGGCTGTAATACCATGCCTTGTGCAGAACTTGTGTGACTGCTGCAAAAAGGCAAACATAGGAAAAGATTTCAGCTTTTGGCTGAAATATAATATGGCAGGGTTCTGGATGTTTTTTCTTTAGGGAACTATGGAATTCCTGAATCATAAAATCATATTTAATAGGGATGAGACAGTTATTATAAAATAAGAAGAGATGCTTCCTGGAGTAAAGCACTTTATTCAAGTGGTTATGTTCGTTAATCAAGTGGGTGGTCAAGAGTTCACTGGAATATAGCAATGCTTTAGCTTCAAATTAGAATTGAAATGATATTGCTCTGTCAATGAAAAAGAGAATATGGACACCAAGAACACACATTTTTCCTATCTGAATATAGAAACCTTGTGAAAATTAATATTTGCTGAAATATGAGTAAGGAGGAATTGCTGTGTTGTT